GACTTGAAATCGTGATTGTTGACATGGAGATTGAAAATATTTTAAAAGAATTTTATTATTACCACAAAATTGAGTACAATGACGATATGTTATGGCCTTCGCGATATCGTTTACCGAAATTTTAGATAAGGGTGTCTCGGATCCTTTTAAGTTAACAAGTGAACATTTCAAGAATCAGTAATATAATATTAATAAAAGTCATTGGTGATATACAGTAGGTAACAGAGGTCTTCCAATTTCCCCAGAAATAGACGTCCTATTAACTTTCAGGTTTTTTGCCACAGCATCATTTAAGGTATGTGCATATTGTATTATTTATTTAAGTAGATATAAATTATTTCATTATTGAAATTAATACGTATTTAATTTCAAAGTAGGTATTGGATGCCTATGATTTGAACGATTTGTAAAGCCGCGTCTCCACCAAAAATGTTGACAATATTTATGTTTGCAACTGTTGACAAATCAACAAAAGTTGCCAACATTTGTTTCCGAAAATGTTTCAAAATGTTCCAAGAAGCGTCTCCACCGAGGGAACGAATGTTGGCAACAAGCGTATTCCTTTGATGTTGCCGCCGAAAACGGAAACACGGTTCCCGATATTGTTTCAAGTTTTATTGCCAACACTAGGTGATTGCAGAAACATTTGTTGGCAACACGTGTTGGCAACAAATCTTTGGTGAAGTAAAATAAATCTGTCATGACTAGGTAGATACATGCTGCTATAGAAATTATGGTTAAAATTTCTGATTACTGATGTTATAATGTTTAAAAAGTAATATTTGTAGTACTATAATTAATTACCTACCTGGCTAGATGCATATGGACTCCAGGCCTCATTTTTAATACGTAGAGATGTGCCATTTATGTCTCCTTATTTTCCACCATAGCCCTATATTTTTTTTTATAATGCCGAGAAAGCATTTTTTCTCATTCGGAATAAATACATGCTTCTTGCTTTCCATTTTTGTATAAATCTAATTTTCCGCGAGATCAAAGTTAAGTAATCAAGATGTTTTACAGTGTCAAAAATGATAAGTCAGTTTTATACATATATGACAGTGGCGCTGTCGTCGCTCTAATGGATTAGGTTATTTGGAACATATACAATTAAGTAGTCAACATTTAGTTCGTATTTAGAAATATATACATAATAGTTTTAACAATTTCAGGTTTTTTAAAGTAGAAAATAACTTTATAACGTGATACGGCTCTATTTATTTAAGTTTTATCAAAATAAAAATATTCAATAAATCTGACGATATAGCAAACACGAAACGTGATGAATGAAATTCTAAGCTTCGGTCTATGTGGCGTAATCGTTCACGCGATCAAGCCCTCAAGTCAAAGAACAGTATTCCTAAGTATAGCGTCTTGAGATACTGTTTTATGTGCTTATTAATTAGTAACGATATTGAAATGCTGGCCTTGGACATTTTATATAGTCTATGAATGTACCGTGAATTGTCAAGCAAGACTAGTGGAGGCATGATCAACTCAAAACTGGCTCGATGCTCGAGGACAATGTTCTGGATAACTTATGAAGAGTCGAAGACGGTGCATAAGTTAATAGATTCTGAGCCAGAGAGAATGAAGGCCTAAATTAAAGCCAAAGGTGGCAGTTCCTATAAAGTGTACATATTTATAACCATTGACTTATTATTACTGTGTAATTATAACCATTTTTAGTAAAATTTAAAGTACATATTATTAATCTGCCACTAAAATGAAACCGAACAATAACGTCATAGATGTTTATTACATACTAATCTAACGTAAACAAATCAAAATAACTAAGAAACTAAGCCATAGAATAAATAATAGTACTACGACAATACTCAAAACAAAATGAGAAAGACAAAGTATCAAAGTAGAGTAAAATACAGGTAGTACCTATTAAAAAGTCCTTTTATACTTCAATGTGTTTGTTAGTATATTATTCTTTGAGAGATATGTTCTCCTGGTATACAAAGTCATTGGGAGTGACATGCCCATTATCAAGAATTTTTTTTTCCCTTTTTGTCCCATTCATTCAACTTTTTTGTCAGCCCTTTCCTTCAATTTTTTTTTATAAATTACTGTTTGAGGTGTAATTTATAACAAATGTTTTTTTAGAATAATTAAAGAGAACACAAGTGCACTCCTTAATTGCAGGGATTCTTTAACAATATTTTTTACGGCTTGTTGAATAAATTAATTTATTGAGGAGCCCTTTAAATTATTTATAATAAAAGGCAGAACACTAGGGACGCAGAAAGTGCGTAGAAGTGGAAAGGGTCGAGTAGGGCCTGTCAAAACTCAAGGTTTTCGTACGCAATGGGCGTGGTTTCTTTAACCAATCACAAGAATGGATCTTACGCAAGAAATTACGCACTCGGAGCTCGGGACAGCGAGCAGCGGCCAAAGCGGCCCTTTTCGATGTGTTGCAAATATGTGTATACATCGTCTTCACTGGTTTAAAAATACTTACCTGTCGTGCTATTTACGTGATGTGTAATATGTATTTTAATGATAAAATGAATGAGGACGTCAGTTTATTGTTTAAAAACTATATGAGCCTTTGATAAAAAGACTAGTAAAAACTATCTATAATTTAAGTCAAGTGAATCCTATCGGAACTATTAGGTATTTATACAGGACGTATAAAAACTTTATAGGTATATAACCTCAATAGTGCCAGTTGGTAAAATGACGAAAACGAACCCTTTTTTCTTTTATTAGGTGTTAGGTGGATACTCCGTTTCTCCCCGTCGAGTCGGTACCGCGTAGGTCACCAAATGCCCTTTGCTCTTGAAGGGTGTCTTGTGGAAAATCAATCATAGTAATATACTATGCATTGTGCTTTAAAAGTACCTATACGTAATACTAAACATATCCGAATTAGTAGGTACTTATATCTAATTAATCGGTCATATTTAGAAAACAGGTAACATTTTGTTTTAATTAACTTAAAAAAAACATGAAGGTAAGGCAGCTGGGTATAATAAAGTGTCATTAGAAATACTGAGGGCTGGAGAGGGAGTGGTGGTAGGCCTGCTGCATCTACATTTTCTTTCATTTATGCTGGGAACTTACGTGAGTGCGGGAGAGTAGCGAGAGATTGGTGCAAAGCAGTTATAGTCCTACTGTATGCACAGAATTGTATGGAAAAGGTTCACATCAGGTAACAAAAAGTAAAATTAAAAATTTTGTGCAACGTAAGTAGGTACTTCAATATAAATAAAATGAGAACACCATCAATGTAGTCAAAGTCAATTTAATACGCATTATTATTTATCAAGGATAACTCAAAAACTACCTACAAGTCAGATCTTGATCAAATTGGACTACATGAGAAGCAATAGCTTTTAAATAAAAAAAGAATCATCAAAATCGGTTCACTTCACCTAGAAAAAAGTTCTGAGGTAGGTACCTAAGTAACACACAAAAAAGAATAGTCGAATTGAGAACCTCCTTCTTTTTTGAAGTCGGTTGAAAAGAAATAGAATTGTTTTTCCTTTACTTTATTATGTACATAGTAACGAATCTCTAAGCTTGACTCTTTCTAGGTTTTTTACTAATAGGTAGCCAAAAATAAGATGAGATATTACTCTATGCCTATTAAAAAAAAAACTGCGGAACTATCAAAACAAAATCTAGTAGGCGTAGGCCCGTAGTGCACCTAACCTTTTGTCTCACTCTCGTCTCTCCTTGTGTTTTTATTTGCAATCTAGCTGTTCCCCGCGACATCGTCCGCGTGGAATTTATTACCTACGAGTTACTACTGGATTTCATGGGTTTTGATTTTCCTTAGCGCGGAACCCTAACTATTTTTCTAAAATAAAGGTAGCCTAAGTCACTCCTTATAACATTAGTTATCTGCCAGTGAAAGTCCCGTCAAAATCGGTCCAGCTATTTCGGAGAATAACCGGAACAAACAGACAGACAGACAAAAATTTGATATTTTTTTTTATTAATACTGTTTACACCTACTAACTTTAATTGAATATGCATTTAGTAAAATTGTGTTATTGCACGTCTCACAACGCGCGAGCGTAGTAAATACTATTATTTATTCTGTGGCGCGAGCGTGTGGGAGTGCTCTACTCTCAACATGCCGCTGTGTGACGATTTTGCAATACCTATAAAATTGTTGGTAAATCTAAATTTAGACACTAAATCAATAAAAAAGCGATATTTTGAAAACTAGATAGGTATATTAAATTGTAAAGTCGGCGTATTTTTTTATTAATTTGATTAGTTATTATTTACAAAAAAATAGGGTAAGTCCGGGGGAGTTGGCCGTAAGGAAGAGATGGCCACTAAAAAAAAATCATAGTTACACTTACTCGATGGCACTACTTTCTAGTTAGTTCAATTTGTGTTGTGCGTGGGAACGACATTTCGCTCCATCTTCGGTGAAAAAAATCGAAAAAGTAAGTAAAATGTACCTACATTTATTTGTATATAGCCTAAAGTTTTCAAAACGTTTACGTTATACATTGTGGTGAAAAGACATCATAAAAAGTAAGTGCTTTTTTTAAGTTAAGTGCTCAGTTAATGACCCACACTTTAACATAACCTCAAAATGGCGCGTGGGGGTTCTTTATATTTTTCTACAAATAATGTGTGGCCATCTATCCCGGCTGATTAGGAGAGATGGCCATACATAATCGGTATGAGATGACCATAAGGCCATCTCACACCTACCATATATGTAATGCGTAATGGTGAAAGTTATATTATTATAACTTGATATATTTTTCTTTATTTATGGTGCTATTATACTTATTTGGTTTTAGTATTTCATGTCACAATATTTTATTTTTAGATGCCAAATAAATACCAAAGAAAAGCATGCAGCTCACGAGGGAACTGGAGTGAAGAGTCACTTAAGGCGGCCATGGACGCTGTTAAAAAAGGTGAAATGACTATTTACGCAGCTTCAATAACCTATCAAGTACCAAGGAAGACGATACAAGAAAAAAAATGAGAAGAAACTCGCTAACCATATTAAAACTATGCAAAAAAATGGTTTCCCATTGACTATTGATGACGTCAGAAAGATTGCGTACCAGTTCGCGGAGCAATTGAATTTGAATCACAGATTTAATAGAGAAACTGAGAAAGCAGGATATGACTGGTTGCAAGGTTTTTTACGAAGAAACCACGATATTACATTAAGAAAGTCAGAAGGAGTATCTTTAGCTAGATCAACTGCTATGAATAAACTGGAGGTTGACGCTTACTTTGAGCTTCTTGAAAGCATATTGACAGTAGACGATGGTGTGTTGAAACCGAGTTGTATCTTCAACATGGACGAGACTGGTCTTCAGCTTAATAATCGACTAGGGCATGTTCTAGCTGAAAAGGGAGAAACGATTACAGTTATAGCCTGCTGCAATGCTGAAGGTACATTTTTACCACCTGCCTGTATCATGAAAGGCAAAAACAAAAAACCTGAGTTTGAGGATGGGATGCCACCGGGATCGAAACTTTTCATGTCCCCAAAATCAGCGTACATTACCTCAGATTTATTTATTGAATGGTTGAAAACACATTTTGTTCCGAGATAACCAGCTGGAAGAGTACTTCTTTTACTAGATGGTCATTCAACTCACTGTAATTCTGTGGAAATGCTGGAATATGCAAATGACAATGACATCAACTTACTTTTAATGCCAAGCCACACGTCTCACTACCTCCAACCACTAGATCGTACGGTGTTTAAATCACTGAAGACTCATTTTTACGAGCAGTGTCGACTTTGGCTAAAACAAAATCCTGGTCGTCGTATAACACGATTATCATTTGGAAGATTGCTTAATAAGGCGTGGGGAAAGGCAGCGTCTGCAGAGAATGCAATTGCGGGTTTTAAAGCTACAGGTGTCCACCCCTTCAATCCATCTGCAATTCCCGACTACGCGTTTACCCAAGAATTGACAAAGCAAATGTCTAAATCTCAAAATGAGTGTACAGCCACTGTTATGGTCGAGGAGCAAGAAGAAAATACTAGTAACATAGCTTCTGCTAATCTAGAACCAGTTCCAAATACTTTCGAAGTGCGACAAGACATATCACCTGCAATCGCTGAGCCAAAATACCTCTGTTGAGCGAATAGTTTTAAACGCAAGTCCTGAGATGATTACAAGAAGGCCTAAAAAATTATTTGCTACTGCTTCAGCAGCAGTAATTAAAAAAATGTCAGAACAATTCCCTCCAAGAAGCGATTTGCCAGATCTGACTCCAACACGTATTTTAAAGCAAATATCGCCAGTTCCACAAAAAATTATTGAAGTACGCAAACATGCTAAACAGGTAGGCATGCTTTTAACCTCAGAGAATCACATCAAAACAAGAAAATTTAAGGAAGCGCTTATAAAAAATAGGGAACAAAAAAATTTCGAAAAAGACGTTAAAAAGGAAAGAAAAATTGAGATAAAACCAATAAAACGAGCACCAAGAAAGAGAAAATCATTAAGAAAGTTATCTGAAAGTAGTGATGAGGATGAAGAACTAATATTATGTAATTCGTCTGATAAAGAAGATGGAAACAGAGAATTGGATAACTGTGTAGGTTGTGGAGAAAATTATTACGAAACGCAACTCATCGAAGATTGGATTCAATGCGTTATATGCCAACTGTGGGTACATGAAAATTGCACCGAATTCGATGATAAGTGTTCATCATGTGGACAGAAAAAGAAGAATGAGCTAAGGCTCAAAAACTTAAAGGGAAAAAGTGATTAAAATGTAGATTAACAAACTGGCCATCTCTCCCTTGCTTCTATGGCCATCTCTACCGGGCACTACGGGAGAGGTGGCCAATCGTGATTTGAAAAAAAAGTAAATTATGAGACTGATTATGTTAAAATGACAAAAAAATGTTGTGATTTTCTTAGAGTTTAATGTCGAAAGCTTAATAAAAAGCTGATTTTTGTTAATTAATCCTTGTAGTTTTTATTTTAGTGACTTCTTTAAAAACTATGGCCAACTACCCCGGACTTACCCTATACCTAGTTAAAAAATTGTAATTACCTACGGCTGTCAGTTAGTCTGTGCTCTGTGCACTTGTTTGTCTTCACGTTTCAGAAAAATATACGCAACGAAATTAAAGAAGTCTTTCTGATTAAGTTTCCAATTACCCTCAGGATATTGCTGGTTGTTATCAGACTTATAGACGTTTAAAAGATATTTTTTAAACTTAAAAAATAAAAACGCTCATGAGGCGTGCAATTTTGAATTTTCCAAATTATTTTGACATTACAAACAGACACTTCAATATTATTTATTTGTTTAGATTAGTGCTGGTCCCAAGTGGAGAGTCACTTAACGTGAAAAAACGGTAGGGGGAAGTCCCCTAGTGGCGGACACCTAAGGTTATTTATAAATAAAACAAAAAATATTTTAAGAAATGTTTATTAAATTATGACTTATATTAGATAACAAAGTTAGAAATCAAATTAAATTAACAAAAATGCAACCTCTGCTAAAAAATAATTAATACTATCAATCAAACTTTGGTAACAAAAAATATAATTTTAAAAAGTGGCACCTAGTACCGGACGAATATTTGTGCCATACACCTAGCACCGGACATTTCAAAATAACCTGCATCGATCACATATGAAGCCATCACCACACTCTGGAATGTCTGCACATGCTTCATGTACCCACCCACGACAGGATGAGCACTGGATCCAGTCTTCGTCAGTGTCTTCTAAGCAAACTACGCAAATTGTTATGTTTGTGTTAGATGTTTCAGTTAATGGTTCTACTTCACTTCCTTTCTTTCCTTTAGGTCTCACGTTTGTCGCTTCTTTTCCCTTGTCTACGCTCTTTCCTTTGGTTTTAATTCGTTTGGTTTGCTTTCCTTTACCTCCCATTGCTACTTTAAACTTAGATTTTATTTCCTTCTTTTTATCTTTCATGTTCTTTTCATTTTCTTTTTCTTCTGCCACTTTTTTGTATGGCGATGAAGTTAAAATTTCACTTCGTTCACTCTTTCTTTTTCGAGCTGCTGTTCGTGTTTTTGCTGCGTCAGGCAACGGTGATAAGTTATGGATTATCTGAACAAGATCGGGAGCAGTACTTGTCGACGGTTTGGGACTTGTGGTTATAGGCTCACTAATAGATTGTTCAGATTCTTTCATTTGCTCTTCTATGATTATGTTTGATATCACGACAGCTTGTTCGTTGTTTAGTGCGTTCGATGAAGTTTCTGTTTGTTCTAGTGGTATATTGGTCATATCTGCAGCCAAATAATCTAGGTCAGAAAATAAATGTCTGTCAAATGGATGGATTCCAGTGCATTTGAATCCAGATACTGCAATATCCAATCGAGCTACTTTTATAAATGCTTCTTTGACCAAACCAGCAATGTCGTAATCCGTTATCCGACATCCAGCATTTGTTCTTATCCACAAGTCGCATCGTTGGCTGTATGCATCTTTAAATGGCTTCATAAATGTCCTGTCCAGAGGCTGGAGCTTGTGCGTAGTGTGTGGTGGTGAACTCATCAAGTGAATATGATTTTCTCTGCAAAAATTGATTACCGCCAATGTCTTGTGGCTGCAATGGCCATCCATTAGAAGCAGCACAGGGTTCTCTTTAGTTGGTTGCGTGTGTTTGACGAATATTCTTAGATATTGCAAAAAAAAGTCACTATTCATCCACCCTTTTGGCTGGGCCACACCGATGCTCTCAGCTGGAGCATTCACCATAAGCCTTTCATTCATTCTTTGTCTAGGAAATACGAAAAATGGGGGTATGTAGTGACCGTTAGCACTCATACAGAACAAAACTGTGATGTTTTTGCCTCTCTCAGCAGAAGTGAGCTTACCTACTTGACGGATGGCTTTCGGAGCGAGAACTTTTTGATGTTTGTGCACGCAACTGACACCAGTTTCATCACAGTTATAAATTCTTGAGGGTGTGAATTTGTACTGTTTCATCAGCTTTTCAAGGTTGTCGTAGAATAGATCCACTTGTGGTTTGTTAAATCCTACGGCGCGCATCATGCTTGTCGATTCCGGTGCTCTCAACGAAATGTCAGAATGCCTTTTCATGAAGTCGTAGTAAAAATGTTTACCAGCACTGCCCTTTTCTTTATTAAATCGATGAGGAATCTTCATGACTTCAGCTAAGTCGTATGCTAATTTTAGAAACTCCTTTTTCATGAGCGGCATGCATCTATTCGATAAATCTTTAATGTGGTCCACCAAGACTTGTTCATACTCTGCTGAGAAGGTGCTAGTGAACCTACCTAACTTTAGTTTCATTGTTACTTCTTCTCCTCGATTTAGGGCCTTTATTTTATCATGTATAGTGCTTTTAGGAATATTGTATTGCATTGCAGCTTGTCTTACACTCAGTTCTTTTGACATAACCTTATCAATAGCAGTTTGTAAGCTCTGTGGCTCCCAGGATCCTTTCTTTTTCTTCTCTTCCATTTTAAATATCTTCTTTCTTCTATACTCTAAAACAAAATTAAATAATTAGAATAAATGACATAAATTCTCATAAGAAATATCAATATGTTTACTGTCCGGCGCTAAGGGACGGCTTAGTGTCCGGTGCTAAGGGACAGACATTTTCGTTCATTAAGTGGTACCTACTAAAATTGTTTAAAAGATCTAATAATATTCTACCATTTTACGGATAACAATCAAGTACTACTTTTATCTTTGCATACCACTCAAATGTAAATGCATAAATATACTAGAATTACTTACATTGATATTTAGGTGACGCCGTGATTTCGCGCCTAAAACAGCAAACGGTTGCTCCCGCCGTGGCCGTGTGCGTCACTGGCGATGCGCGGCGCGTGATCCTGTACCTGTGTGCCCCCCGCGCCCCTTTCACTTGTATTTTGAATCGAACAGATTTATACTCGCTTAAATAGTACGAGTGTCCGGCGCTAGGTGCCGTCCGGCGTTACGGGACTTCCCCCTAATATTTTCAGTTGTTAAATTCAGCTAGTAATTTTTATAAAATTAAAAAAACGGATTATATGTTGTACAGTATATTGAATTAATTTTTTTTGCATTAAGCCTCAAGCTAATAGGAAGACAAAATCTATACCTATGCATTATCCGTAATATAAATATTAATATTATTATGTTTACACAATTTTCACAATGAATCACATTTAATTAATTTATATACGTGCTTATATGCTTTTACGTGGTAGAGCCATGCTGCAGCTATATTAGTAGTATAGTTGTAGCACGAATGGGTCGGCTCGACCGGGGAAGGACCACGCTCTCACAGAATACCACCGCAAAATGGCAGCTTGACACTGCTGTGTTTCGTATGGTGAGTGTAGAGAACCGGAGCCCCTTTTTACTGGAAAAGAGGCATTCCATCTTAGTCCTCACGGGTGACAACGCATCTGCATTTCGATTCGCAAACGAGGATAGATGTAGACGTCTATGGGCCACAGCAACCACTTACCATCAGGTGGACTGTGTGCTCGTTTGTCACCCTATCCTATAAAAAAAAATTTTCATCTTGGTCGTTTGCCCCCACTTCTATAACAAAAAACTGCGTGAGTGTCGTGGAACACTTGGTTGGAACGAAGTTCTTTTCGTAATATATTATTATCTACCTATTGATAAACGTTTTATATTATTGACTATCAAATGCAAATAAATGAATTACTAGCGTCTATTAAAATGAACCGTCATTTAAAATAATATTTCTTTCATTGCAACATATGAAAAAGTGCAAGGGAGATGGATATTATTCCTTCTCGTTCGCACTATAGAAAGGGTCGTGACGGAAAAATCTTACACTTTTCCTCGCCTAGCCCCATCTGTCAAATTCGTTCTGTGCGATATGAAACATCCTTCCAAAAACAAAGATATTAGAAAATCATCATTAAAAATTAAAATGAGTCTATGACTGATGACGATGAAATCCAAAGCTCTAAAATGGAAAAATAAGCTTAAAAAAAATCAATAAAGCACTTGTTTCACGTTTCCAATGCGTTGACACTATGTACTATTGAAATCCACATAATGAACGAATACGGGAAAAATAATGCGCTTGTGGTTAAATCACCGACAATTCAAATTCAAACGCTCAAAACAAACTTATGCATGAATTTAAA